CGTTTGTGGTTCATCAGCAGCTCGCGGTGCAGCTCCTGGTGGCTCCTCGAGGCTTTGACGGGGTTGAGGAGCTTCTTAGGCTTGATGAGATCCGGGTTTCCATCGATGTAGTCCGGGTGAGCCATGAAATTCCTGACCTCAGGCCGCTCCCTCTGGATTTCCGAATACATGGACGCTGGAAGAGACGAGAGGCCCCCGTGTGAGACGGCGCAGGAGAGACACGAACAGGCTGAGGCTCACGCCCAACAGCTACACGTTCCCTCTGCCCCCCCCTGGCACCAGGGTGCCCACGTGCACCTGGGTTTAGACGGGTTAGCGAGCTGGGGGGGCTGTTTCTCAGGAGCGGCAGATAGCTCCAGGGGAGAGCCAGGACCCTGGGGCTGTAAAACCCAACACAAAGAGGGTCCATCCCCAAAGAGCTTACAATCTAAGTCTGTGTGTATGTGTATGTGCGCGCACGTGCACGCAGGGGTGTGTGTGCATGCAGGGGTGTGTCTGTGTGTGCGTGCACGCAAGGGTATGTGTGCGTGTGTATGTGTATGTGCGCGCACGTGCACGCAGGGGTGTGTGTGCATGCAGGGGTGTGTCTGTGTGTGCGTGCACGCAAGGGTATGTGTGCGTGTGTGTGTGCGTGCACGCAGGAGTGTGTGTGTGTGCGCACGCAGGAGTGTGTGTGTGTGCACATGTAAGGGTGTGTGTGTGTATGTGTGCGTGTGCGCACACAGGGGTGTGTATGTGTGGGTGTGTGCATGCACGCAGGAATGTGTGTGTGTGTGTGTGCACACGCAGGGGTGTGTGTGTGTGTGTGCACGTGTATGAACCCATGCCAAAAAGCTTCCTGGCCGACAAAGCCCAATGGCAGTGTGACTCGCACACGCCTGAATTACACCACTCGTCAAGCAGGGCCAGCCGCTCAGTTCACTGGCGACGGCGTTTAACGACAAGGATCGATTCATGCAAGTTGGCCTCCCCGTTAATCAGTCAGATTCAAACCAGAGACAAACGTGGGCCCAGCCCCTGCTGCGGTGCCGCGGTTTGGCACCAGGTCGCTGAGGCAGTCAGACCCCAGTGCGCTCAGAGCCAAGGGGACACAGGACGACGCGCCGCGAGGTGCCGCCATGGACTACGCTGGAGAAATGGTCCCAAATGATCGGACACGTGGGAACGCTCCAGCTCTCAGCGATACCCTAGTGGTCAGCTGCTTCGCGCCCGCCGGGGCGCAGAGCGAGACTCTCACGGTTCACACGGCCCAGGCTTCTGCACGTGTTCACGTGTCAGAACCGGCGCACGTGAGGCTGCCATGGCCAGTACTTCGGATGATTGTGTCTAAGGTGCAGTAACACGGGTCACGCTGGTGACGAGCACTGGCCGAGGCGTCCCAGCACCAGGGTGAAATGCAGAGCCGTGCGGAGGGGCTGTGCACCAGGGCGCGTGCGAGCAGGGAGGAGAGAGGCCTGTGAGGAGGAACCCACTCGCACCCACACGCTTGTGCAGAGACCAGGGCATGGGTGCCTAAGGCGCGGGAGCAGGCCGCCGGCAATGGCTCCTTTTACCCTGCGCGGGTCCTCAGGCCCCTGGAAGAGCCGGGCTACCGGTGGTAGGGCAAGGCAGGCAGGGGACAACCCAACCGACAGCGGGCTGCGCGCTAGAGCTGGGCAAGGACGAAGGCTGTGGAGGAAAGCGACTCCGTCCCGAACAGCGTCCCCTGCGTAGGGGCCAGGGCCCCGCGTGGGGAGTGAAGGAAAACAAAGCGCAGCCCGTTACGTCCCTGCACCCGGGCTGAGGCGTTCAGGGCTGCCGGGAGCCTGCCAGCGATTTCTTCATACCAACTGATTCTCCATCAGACTCAGACTGTCCGGCGACAAATGCCCGGCTGGCTCAGAGACCCAGGTCCAGGGCCCCCTCCCCCCTGGTGAAAAGCAGGAGAACTGCGCTGGCTAAGGATGTTAAAGGGCGGTTCATTGACTGGTCGATTAGCCGATGGACTTCCTGGCGACTAGTCGATGGGCACGTCCGCGTTCCTCCCGCTGGGGCTCTTGTACATTGCGAAGGAGGAATGCGGAACGCCGCGTACAGCCCGGGGCCAGCAGGCAGTCCCGCCGACTCTGGGCTGCAGGGGTTCTTGTGCATTTCAAAGCCATGGATCCCGGGGCCCAGTGGGGGACTCACAGGCTCCATGCTACGCTGCATGCTCCTACGCGGATCGGCTGTGCGGCGGCTGCCCCTTTAAAACGCAGCTGGCTGCGGGTTCCAGGGAAGTGCCACATGGAACACGGGGTCAGCTGGGGACTCCCCAGTTGTTCCCGGGTTCTGGGGAAATGCCTGGGACTCTCCAGCCTATCCTGGGCCCCACGGCTGCCCCTTTGAAAGGCGCGGAGGTGGCATTTTAAAGGGGCAGCTGCCACACAGCCGATCCAGGATCAGCTGTGCCCCTTTGAAAAGCCGCTTTGAAGTACCCCTTCCCCACCCCCTTGGCTGCCTCTGTCTCATAGACTTTATCTCATGGAGGCAGCCAAGGGGGGTGCATAGCGACTAGGCCACTGTTTCTCAGTCTTTTTTTTATAAATCACCTCTTTAAAAAAATTATAAGTACCCCCAGGACCTACAGTTTTCAGACACACAATTTTTTTCTACCATTACAACGCATTTGTTTAAACAACTTAATCGTAGCCGGGCAGGCGATGAAATTTTTGGGTGTAAAAAGTACAAAAATAATCAAGCGCTGTCAAACTTAACACAAAAATTCGGTTTTCTCCAAATGTCAGTTGTATTGACGTCCCCCCCAGATTTCTCAAGTCCCCCTAAGGGGACTCGTCCCACTGGTTGAGGAGCTCTGAACTAGCTGCTTAGTCACAATACTCTCTGCTAAGCCAATGCGTAGCGGGTCGTCGACTAGTCTTTTCCATCCTTCACGCTGACCTGCCCGGAGCCCACTGACCTGCAGCAGCAGAGGGGAGAAGCCGGCAGGATGGGTGAGAAAGTCAGGGGAGGGAAATCCCGCAGCCCCCGGGCTGTTTGTGCTGATTCGACTCGCCTTGGAATGGAAGTTTCACCCCAAATTGCACAGGCAGGAAAATGTGGGACCCCCCCAAACTCGTTTCTTTTCTTGCAGAGTTTTGCTTGGAAAACACTTTGAGCAGCCAGCCCCAGGGGAGCCTGGCCTGGACTGTCGCGGTGACCAGCTTGTCGGATCTGCCCAATCAAATCCAGCCCCATGCGTCATGGGCACCTGAAGGTGCGGCTCGAGTCTCAAAAGTGGCCGGTGCGGCTGTCTGCAGGGCTGCCTGAATAGCAGGGGCAGTCCCCGGGCCAGCTACACCGGCTGCCGCCCACTCCCCCAACCCCACCAACACTCCCTCCCCCACGGCGCTGGCTGTCCCGGAGAACTGCCCCAGCCCAGAGCTCCCAAGCCGTATGTAGCTGCATACAGGACAAGCCATGGACAGATCGTGGGCCTTGGATTTTTGTTCGCTGCCTGCGACCTGTCCATGGCTTTTACTGAACAAGCCCGTGACCAGAACGCAGCCGGAGCCATCGCCCGTCCGCCCCAAAGCCGGGGCTCACCCAGATTTCCACTCCGGGTGGTGCCGCTGGGGGAGCCGCCTGATTCCTCAGCGGCTTCCACACGAGCAAGATTCACGGCTGGGTTTTCCGGCTGCCGGCCTCTCCTGCCCCCAGCGTGGAAGGACCAGCCAGCCAGCATGCGAGGGGCCGTGGAGAGAGAGCAGCCGTGGGAAGAGCGCGGCAGGAACTGGCCCAGGGCGTGCGTGGGCGCCTTCGCCACACGAGCTTGCTCTGGGAAGGCCGGGCTCTCAGCACAGCAGGGCTGAGGCATGAACGTGCCCCGCCAGCGAGGCGAGGGATGGGGACGATAAGGCGCGGCACTTGATGGGCATTTCCAGGCGGCTGCAGTTTCACGGTTGGCCCAAGAGCTTGGCCTGTACCCCAGGAGGGGGGTGCGGCTTAGCAGCATGTCTCACGGTCTCTGAAACCAGCACTGAAGCAAAAACCAGACGAGAGGGGAGAGTGTGGGAGGAGGGGCTGAAATACATTGGAACGGGCCAGAAAGGGGTCTGGTCTGGCCAGCTGGCTGCCCAATACAGCGTGGTCCACAGCCAGGAGCTTTCACGAGGACCAAGATTTTCCTGGGCATCAGGACACGCGCGAGGCAGCAGTGACCAGGAGCACGACGTCCCTGGGGCCAGACCTGCCTCGGTGGCCCAGGTGCCATTATGATAAAGGGTGAAGTTGCCCCAGGAGAACCCAGGCTCCAGCTGAGAGTTTCAGGTAGGTCCCGCCCAGGCCAACAAGCCCTGCCCTTCAGAAAACCAAATGTGAATGTCAAGCCAGCTCCAGCTGATACCCAAGCACTATACATTAGGGCAATGGAACAGCTTCCCGACGGGACGTTTTAGCTTGGAAAAGAGACGAGTAACGAGGGAGGATATGATAGAGGTCTTTCAAATCGTGACTAGTGTGAAGAAAGGAAATAAGGAAAAGTTATTTACATCTTCCTATAACACAAAACTAGGAATCACACAATACAGTTCATAGGCAGCAGGTTTAAAATAAAACAAACAAACAAACAAACAAACAAAAAAGGCGTTTTTCTTCATGCAGCACACAATCAACCTGTGGAACTCCTTGCCAGGGGACGCTGTGAAGGCCAAAGCTATAACACAGTTTACAATGGGCAGAGCCTAAAAAGAAAAGCGAGACGATCAGAAGGGCCCATCTTTCCCGACTCTGGGCTTCCCTGGGGTTAAGGACCAGGCATCCCTCCCACTACACTCTACCAGACAGGCACGCTAGGCCCACACGACCTGAAATGCCAGCAACATCTGCAGGCCTGGTTGTAACTAATCTCAATGGCATACGGCTCCCAGGCTACTCAGTATCGTCATTCAGAGACTGGTGTAACCCAAGCCCCGCCGCAGCACCGTGCCCGTTTGTGCAGGGTCAGCCATATGCCGGTGGGAGATCACTGCAGGCCGTCACGTGGTTTCACACAGGTCTGGGCAATGGAGCTAGAAGAGTTGTACGTGTATCTGAAAGCCGCTCTCCGACCGCCGCCACGGAGATCGTAGCATGCAGGACCCCCAGGGCGTCTCGTCTGGGGCTGCCACGTTACCGGAGCATGCAGCGTGCGCAGAGCTGAGAGGCGCCGGGGACGTC